CTCCTCAGACAGCTCTCTGTCATACCAGGGGTCAAGATGCTCCCTGGATGACCCCATCATCATCATCCTTAGCTCCCCTCACACATTCAGCTGGAGATCATTGATATAGTAGGAAAAGAGACACCTTATACAACCCTTAAGAGCAGGACGTGCCTTGGCCACTGTCGACTTCTCAGCCAACATTTCCTTCCATTCTGTATTTGACTCGGGAGCATTCAAGATGACTTTAAAACCGCCTAGGGTTTGGAAGAAGTAATGACCCTCCTTTTTCTGTACCTTGACACTGAGAAGGTGGCTGAGCATGAGAAGGGTTGGCTCAACTCCAACTCGATAGCAAATCACCACGATGCTCACTAGTGTGGCGATGGAGTTAGGCTTGATTTGTGAAGGTGACATCCCCAGAGCCTTGAAGGTGCGGTAGGTAAAGGGGTGGAACGACAGACGGAGTCCAAACCCCAAATGCTTGAGGTAGATCGGAGCGACAATGCCGCCATGGTTATACACCGTCTCAGCCCCCTCCGATGTCGACAGTGTGAATATACGTTGGAGGTCATAGCGGTCATAATAGGCCTTGAGCTCCATTGCATATAGCTTCGAGAGGAACTTACATAGAAGTTCAATCCTCACCTCGTTGTAAGAAATAGTTGTAGTAGAAGCAGCCATCGTAAGAAAAGTTTGTTAGAGGTTGATCGGAAGTCGCTAGAAGATAGAAGAGTTCTAGGGCTAAAAAAATTGTATACAGAGATCTTCAGCAGAACAAGTATAAATAGGCTCGAGGACGGCTACGTGTCGAAATCAGAATGGTCGACCCGATTATTGATGGATGGCTGAGATCGACCTCAGAAGCTAAAATAACCGCTCAGGAGCCGAAGCATTTCCCTTCGATTGACAAGCCATTTGCACTCAGGAAACTAGGCGATGCTGGAGCACGATCTCCAGTGATGTCAGAACATCACATGAACAGTAGCATGTAGCTTTCCTCATAAATGCACCTCGGATATCCCAACCGTTTACTGTTTAGGCTCCGTTTGGATACCATGATGTTTTACTTATTTCCATGGTGTTTTTGCCAAAAAAAAAATATCATGCATTTGAAAACTATGATGTTTTTTGAGCTAAATCATCCTCAAACCAAAAACATAACACTTATTTTAAAACACCTTTTAGGTGTTTTAAGTTTAATGTTTTGGTTTTGAGTTTGATAATGTATTAATATAATATCGAACATAATATATTAAATATAATTAATATAGAGTTATTATCAACATGCTTATTATATTATACTAAACTATACTATATTATAGTTAATTTAATATATTAGTATTTATTAAATAATATAAAAATATAATAAATAAAATATATTATATAATAATATAATAACATATTAAATACCAATATTTAATATTAATAATGTATTATATAATAAATAAATAATAATAAAATATAAATAAACTAATAAAAATAATAAAAAGTATTATTGATAATAAATAATAATATAATAATTTACTATACAATAGTATAATTGCTATAATATTATTCTTTTTAATAAATAAATTGTAATAAATTAATAATTATATAATATATTATATAATATTAAAATATTTATAATATATTAATTTATTAATAACATACTAGTAATAACATAATAATAACATTATTAATAATATTATATTATATGAATAATAGTATAATATTATATTATATTAATAATAGTATAATATAATATTAATAATAAAATAACATTATTATAAAAATATTAATATAATATACAACAATAACAAATTGATATACCAAAATAATTAGATATATAATTATTTAAAAATAATATGTAATAATTATAATATAATATAACTTATTAAAGTATAATATAATATTATAATGCATTATACAATATTATATTGCATTACATTTATAACTTATAATACTATAATAATGTAAAGTAAATATTATAACATTTTATTTACAATATATTTTATTATAATTAATATATAATATATTAATAATATGTTTAATACTAATGTTATAATGGGTTAAACTAGTGTTGACAAAAAATACTTAACATGGTGTTTTAAAAATATTTTAAGAGAAAAACACAACACCATGGTGTTGTTTTACAAAAACACAACAAGAAAAACATCATGGTATCCAAACGAAGCCTTAAATTTTACTTGGACTCGGCCTACCAAGCTCGAGTGAAAAAGGCCAGTGTTATATCCTACAAATTACTAAGTGTTAATCTCAATGGAGCGTCAACACGTGTCCCACCATCAGCACTCGACCCTTCCTAGTCGAGGGCCGTGTTGAAGGGCGTCCTTATTTGACCCACCATTCAAGTCGACTCCACTTCTTTTTGCTCCACGTGGCCGAGCCGACAATCTTCGAGGCTGACTAAAAAGGTAGTACTTATCGGCTCATTTGCAAAACTGACTCGAAAGGTGTCGTTTGTCAACCCTCTTGTGCAACCGAGTCAAAAGGCGGTGTATCCTCGGGCCCTACGCTGACAATCGATTGCCATCACATTAATTGAATAATTAGAGTCATCATTTCTCTAGCCCCAAAAGTCTTTATGACTCATCGGACCTCGTCATCACCATGCATACTCTGTCACTCTCATATTAAAACGCTTGGGTGACTCATCTCCCTCTGCAGCTAGCACATGTAAAGTAGATGACTACTGCCCGTCTGCTTGACTCGGCCGAAGTTACTCATCTACCCTTTGGATCTGCTATAAAAGGAAGTTGCTCTCTACTGCTGAGGGTAAGCAATATCTTGTTAAAGAATACCCTCTCTCTATTCTTTTTCCCCACTCAAGCTTTTTACTGACTTGATCGTTGGAGTAACCACCAGAGATCCCAACTCTAACCTCTAACGTGTTGTTCATGTGCGTGATGGAAGTCGGTGTTCAAAGCCTAACTATCTAAAAGAGATTGAGGACCCCTAACACCCTCACATAATCCACATACAACTCCATGTTGGATAACTAACATCAACAATAACAAAATAAAATGGTATATATATGTAAATACTCCCTTAAAATAAATTTAAAATCTCCAATATTTACGCCTCCAACGTGAGATTCTCCTCTGCAATTAATAAGTTGGAATAGATGCTTGATTTCTTGTAATTAATAGACCCTGACCAATTCATGGTTCTAAGTCAAAAGTTGCTCAAGTATAATATTATTACCATGTGATGTTTCTTTATGTAAGAGTCTATGTTCCCTCTTAGGCTCCTGTACTTAAATTGTTTATTCACAATGGTTCAGAGTTTGTGCCAAACCACTCCTGATTATCTTTGCTTTCTTCTTTGGCACTTCGGAATATTTGATCTAAACAATTATAATAAAAATGAAGCTACAATTTGCAAGATGCATACACAACTACTATTGTTTGTTTTACTATAATTCTAATCTTTTGGCAACTGTGATTAACATATAAAAGATGACTTATTTTGAACAAACCATTTATGTTCAAATTGTTTGTAAGTACTTTTGGTGTAAAAACTGAAGTGTAATAATATTTATGCTTGTTATTTTAAATGAACCGTAAAATTGTAGTAATACTAATTGGTGGAGAAGATTTCCAAGCTTTTAGACTATAAACTAATTGAATCATCTCCAAATATTCAACACCATCGAAATTCAAAAATAAAAATTCTAACCGGTGGATGTGATCTGCTACACGTGAACTATCTAGAAATAAAATTTTAAAAGATTTCAACATCATTAACTCATTTATAATATGTCGTTAAAAATCAATATTTCAGAATATTTATAAAGTTGTTTAATTTTCTGCCTCTTGATATATGATTCGAATTACATCGAAATATCTGGAGATTTCATTTTAAGTAGTTTATATGTAGTAAATCATATTCATCTATTTAGATTTTAATTTTCTTTATTTTATTTTTTAAAATTAGATTCATAATATTCGCATATTAAATACTATTGAAATAATAATCTAACTCAACTCTAAATATTTAATTAGGAAATAATTCTTTTCTGGCTATGACCGTGCTGCCCTTTTATTTTCAGTTGCATTTTATTATATCCACCTCCTGGTGCGTGTCACTTCATTGCTACGGAAGGTACAATTATATGATCTGTATGAATAAGACAGGGGAACATAAAGTCATGTGGACGAATGCACAGTGAACAGTACGATAATAACTTAATATTGTTTAACCATTTTATTTCCCTTCAGGCTTCGTGTCACCGAGCTCGTCATTTCTCTCTACAAATTTGTTGCTCTAAAATAAATTTGCTTCACATCTACGATCCAGTAGACCTAGCGGAGGTACTAGATTTTGATCCATACCGCCCCCTCAGCAAGTATATACGTATTTTTTATTTAATAAGAAGTGAGGAGAGAGAGATAATTTTAATTTATAGTTCATTTTCTTTTATCTCTTAAAGCCCTTTAATTTGGAGGGATTCTTTTTTCTCTCCTTATTTTCAGTTCATTTTGAGCTATCCCCTATTCTACCTAACTTCTCATTGCGCCACCTTCCCTTCTCTACCAAAGACACTTTAGATTTTTATCCTCCCTTTACTTTCCTCTCTACCAAACCAAGCCTTAACTAACGCTCTCCAATGTCAGCAATAACAAGGGAGCATAATAATAGATCATAATGATTTTTTTCTTTTCTTTGGATTAATCAAATTTCATTGCCGGTATCCTAAAAATGATGTAATTACATGAATGACCCCCAAGTCTGCATATTTACACAGATGATCATAAAATTACTACGCATAATTACACACGTGACCCTAGAGCCCAAGTGACGAGCTACCCTCAGGTTACACGTATAATTACAATTAGTATTATCAGGATCAGACTCCCAGATCACCCCTGTAGTTATATCATACTCTAGGGGAAATTAAAACCATCCCCATTTCCCTATTGCTCATTTTTTTCAGTTTCAACACAGTACGCAAATAAGACAGCCTGCAAAACAATAGCAAAGAAAAGTGAACTTATAAAATAAAACATAGACAACCATGCTCAATTATATACAGGAGAGCTGTATACATGCAACACGTTCAATAAAATGGTTCCATTTACCACTGTTAAGTGAGGAGATTTCAACAAAATATAAGCTAAGGCCTTAACATATGAATCACCAAATCCCAGCACAAAGTTGGCAGTAATGTTCCAGTTGCAGGGAGGCTTCTTCACAAATCAATTCGGACCAGTACAGAAATACAATATACAGTTGCAATAATTTCATTTTCCGTACACATATTATCCCTCCTCTCCAAACTCCTTGGTAAATCTCTCATGCACATCAAGATCGGCTTTGCTGACAGTTGGTCTCTGCCTTGCCAGCACCTTGTCAAAGTCTGTCCTTGAAATTGGCGGTGGCAAAAGCTGCTCAAATGGAAAATATCAGTCACAAATCCAAGCAGATATCAGGGAAAGACAAAGGGTGTGTTTAGGTCCCATTTTTAATTTATTTCATGGTGATAAAGTTGAACAGTCCATAGTAGAGCTCATTATGCATATTCTTTAATTGTACCAGATACTAATCTTTATTTTTGCTTCGCTCTCATCTTTGTCTCGCAGATCAGAGATTTTTAACCACTTTTCTCAAAAGGGCATACGGCAGCTTTACACCATGAAACATCGATGCTAAAAAGACTGCAAGTTAATCTCAACATTTCTCGATCAAATGCATCTCATGATGCAAGCTTCAACTCATGGATATAGAGGCTCCTTAAAATCCTTTCCATGCCAAACAACAAATGACATCACTGTATCAGCCAGTAGTTTTAGTTAAGAATCTTCAGATATACTCTAAGGTGCCAAATCTGGCATCACACTTTATAGATATGGTTTATTGAAAGGGAAAACCTATATCTCAGTTCAAGTCAAAACAGAATATCAGAAAACTACTCTTTCAGATCAAAATATGAAGGAATGGGCTGAGAAGGAAGTTGCAATCCATTCCTAACTTTAAGCATTGGCTTTGTAAATTTTGGTTCTAAATGCCCTTGTGGTTTCAGAATTTTGCTAACTGACCATTTACTGTTCAAGTGTTCTTTGGAAGCATTGCGCGTTGCAATGTGCCTTGCAATGGACAAGCATCAATTCCTACTGTTATGTCCGTGGACGAATCGTGGGCTGTGTTATTTAGACATAATTGGGGCTGCGAAAATTATCCTAACTTCATATGAAGTATTAACTATACTTTAGCTGGTTCTCCATGGTGATGAGTCAAACAGGCGTTATTGGATTGATGGAGCTCTCTATTTGGTCTCAGAAGAAAGTCAAAAGCCACTTTTCCTGTATCAGGTTAATGTGTAAGTCAAAAACCACTTTTCCTGTATCAGGTTAATGTGTAAGTCAAAAACCACTTTTCCTGTATCAGGTTAATGTGTTTCTGTTACTCTTACAGGAGGCAGGTACTACGTTGATCCTTTCCAAACTGAACTTTATGGAACAACCAAGCAGCGTGGATTACCTGCGTAGACCACCTAATTAGAGATGATTGAGGTGATCATGCTGCTATGGACTAAAGTTTTTGCGTTGAAGCCACTGTTGCCAAGGCCAAACTCAAGGATTTAAGGTATGGTGTGAAGGTTGTTACAAAATTGAAAGTGAGATTGATGGTTTTTGTTATGGAGGCTCTCAGTCAATAATCCAACATCTCGTCTAGTTTGAGGAGGGATAGGGGATTCTTTGGGATGGTGCGGATGATCTTACAATCCATTGCTCAAAAACAGCAGATATTACTATCTATTAAACCTGGTGACGTTTTATGTAAAGAACAGCTAGACGTCACTGATATAAATTTTCAAAGGGATTAGATGCAACAACTGCAAGATTATCGAAAGCAAGAAAAAGGTAGCAGAAATGAAAGAAAAGAAATGCACTTCTCTCTCTTTTTTTCCCTCTCTTCCCAGTCACTTCCTTAGATGTGAAATACACAGTCAAATTATGTGATTCAGTGGGAATATACCTGAGAAGCAAAGCCCTTTGCAGCAAGTTCCTGCATAGTGGTCTGAACAGCTCCTGGCTGCTTGGGACCACAGGGCATCCACATATTGCCAGAGGTCTTTATGAAGAACATTGCATCCTGAATTTTGCGAACAGGTTCAAATAGAACATCCTTGACCTATCAAGAGCAAAATACATAATTAAATTAACATTCTATAGACAACCATAACAGTTATTTAAAGTGTTTTAACTTACACAAACAGCGATATCTGAACCAGAAAACCCCTCTGTCTTACGAGCCAAGAGCTCAAAATCACTTTCCGTCAGGTTGTGTGGTGTGTCTCCCAAGTGTACCTGTACATATGCATTCCTTCAAGCTAAGTATAGTAATAACTTAAATAGACATTGGGACTACAGAATCAAGGTAGCATTCTGATTATATCAAATAAGGATAACTAGTGGCTTTTAAACATGATTATTGGAAATGGCTCAATCATCGGGTAGGATAGGACGACAGCTCTCTTATGCCTAAGGCCTCGTTTGGTACGCGGGAATGAGGTGGAATAGAATGGTCATTCTCACTTCGCATTCCTTCCTACCAAACACACCCTCTTTTCTAAAGTTTGAATGCCCATTCCCACTTCTCATCAATTCCCACTTTACGTAGGAATGAGCATTCCCAATGAAATGATAGGAAATAGGCATTCCCAGTTAAGTGGAAATTAATAAAATATACAATTTTAAAATAACATCAATTCCCACTTCATTTTATAAATTACACCCAAATGTGAGAATGAGAATGACCATTCCATTCTCACATTAATTCCATTCTATTCCTTCTTCCATTCCATTCTCATTTGAGTCCATTGATGCGTACCAAACGAGACATAAGAGAAAATACAAAGTGCAAATACGTCATCACCTTAAACATATGTTGTCTAGCTTTAGGATCAGGTAGAGGAATGTAAATGCGCTTGTCAAAACGTCGTCGAATAGCCTGTATTTCATAACAATACACGAGCACATAAAACAGTTCGTGACAAACCCAAAAGAAATTCAAAGTGGAGTAACAACTTTTGATCCAAAATCCAACAAAACCTGATCCAGAGCATATGGTGTATTTGTTGCAGCGAGAACAAGAACTTTTTGGTCATTGTTTCCTACACCCTGAAATACAAAACAGTACAGTATTTAAAAAACTATTACGTTCACATATGTTTAAAAATAAATAACAAACACAATTCAAAGTTATTCTTAAATGAACAGAACAAAGTTGCAAACATAGTTTGAAAAATATGTCCTTTGATTTGGGATCCCCTCACAGAGTTTCAGTTTTGGTAAGTTTTGACACGGTTGAAAAACTTTTGACTTTAGCTTCAATTCATCATAACTAGATCAGGTGGGCGAGCTTTCCTCCTCCAGAAAGCAGCCAAACCTTTGGTTCGGTTACAAGAAGCCCCAAAAAAGTGTTCACCATTAGCTATGACACCTATACTCAGCAAACCACATTTTACGAGTTTCAACTTAAGGCTCTCGTTATGCACGTTTCTTATTTGATCATTATAACAAGATGATCATCCATAAAAGGAGAATCAGAATGCTGAAACAAAATGTAAGTGGTGAAGTCATAGTTACACGGTCCACTGTACGTAACGGGTCGTCGTACGAATTCGGGTACACAATTCGAGACTTCGAAATTTTAGATTCGACAGGGGGTAGCTTGCTTCGATACGCGAGTTCGATATAGTATACGATGTAATGTTTTTTGGGTACGCTTATCCAATGTTTTAAATATTAGCTGATAAACTGATATTGTCGGCGATTTATCGGTTTTGGTGGGCTTCCGCTATTATAAGTTCAATTCTAAATCGGTTATCGTTTTTGGATGTTTATCACCGATAATGCGGTGATAAAATGAGTTATCAGCCGATATTGTCAACCCAAAAATCGAAATTATCAGCCTTTGATTTGAGTTTTGCTTTTGGACAACGGGCACATGTTCAATGCACTTTAAATCCGACCCCACCCAAGTTTCTATCATTTGTTAGTGATCGTAAACATAATTATTTACATTTTGGTATGTTTATATTTCACTAAGTACGGTTAGATTATATTTTAGAATATTATATTATATATATCACCATCCGATAATGTCACTCAAATTAATACTACTTATTCTCGATATATCCCCAATATCCGTTATCCGATATGAATTTTGACCGTCTGATAAATCCACGTTAACCGATATTTAACACCATGTGCTTATCATTTTTCAAAGCGTATAGTAAGAAATCAGAAACTAGAAAACTAGTTATGCATTTCAATATTTTTTCATACACAATACTTTAATACTTTTTTTTATAATTTATGAATACATAAAAGTTAAAATATTAAATATTGAACAACCTCTTAATATTTTTTTTTTCTATTTTGCAATTTTCCCCCCTTAAGAAGGCGAATGTTTGAATGGATGAATACTAACTTATCCGCCCTTCCACTATTCAATCCATTCCTTTTCACACTATGTATGTAGGAATAAGTACTCCACTTTCTCTCAGCTGAAGAGCTACTAATAGGCCGAAACAAAATCTTCTTAGTAACATAGTTAAAGAAATAGCGATCTAGAAATTAGTTATTAACTTTGGATAACTTTTACTTAATGCAAGAGTACTTTCAATAATATTATCGAAACGTATAAAAAAATCCAAGCGCGTGTGCATGAAAACAAACTTATAAATCAACTTTCCCCTCATATTTAGTAAGGGGTAAGCTAATTTTGGGGAACCGATTCGTGTATCGGAGAGAATCGGTTCGTAAATGTACAAGGAATTGGTTCGCATGAACTGTTTGACAGTTCGAGGGGGATCCAGGGAATCGCGCAACTATGCGAAGTACTCATGTTAGCTCATCTTCAATTTACTTCTCATCCGAGTCCTTCCTCACAAGCTTCAGTGTAGAAATCAAAGAATCTAACACAATATTACCTTTTATGTAGCAAATCAAAATTGCTTTCTGCCCATATGAAATTCAAAAACACCTTTTACTAGGCATATAAAGTTGAGACCATACATATACCAGCCTTCGTTATAGGCCATGTTGTAATATGACGCGGAACCTTGTCATATACCAGCCTTGTCATTGTCATAGTCCATGTTGTAATATGATGCAGAACCTTTTATTAGGCAGTTAAAGTTAAACTATACGTCTACCACCTTATCATGGTCCATGTCATAATTTAGGGTGGTTATTAATAGCAGATTTTGCATGTACCTATTTGCCTGTGCTGAACAA